TCCCAACGGTCCAAATGGCGCGTCAAACAGACACCCGAGGTGAAAGTTATGGAGATTTCAAATTTTCCAAAATTCTATCCAATACAGTGATAACCGGTTACCCTCTAGTGGTAACTGGTTAATGTAAAGTAAGTAGATCTATATTTTCAAAATTTCTCATGGTAACTAGTTACCCACTTATGGTAACCGGTTACTGCATATTACAGTAGCCTCTGTTTTCCAAATTTTTATGTGGTAATCGGTTACCATAACTGGGTATTCCGTTACTCTGATGACAGTAAAAATCTGCAACTTTTCAAATACGAATTTTTCATGCTTCAAAGCCTAAACTCTCAATTTGTTAACCAAAATAGTGTTTTAAAAACATGCTAATTAGTCACAAACATCTGTCTATCGTTTCTAACCAAAACATATCAACAAATTCACAATCAATCATCCAAAATACATCAAAATTCATCAATGGGAGGAAACCCCAAAAACACAAATTAGAGAGAAAATCAAAACATACAACAATGAAACCTAAATTCTACCATACCCCATCATTAGTCAATCCATTATAGTGTTAGAATCCCCCTTACCTTAGATTTTTGGTCGGTTCTTGATTCATACGGTGAATCTTCTTGCCCTAGCTTCCTAGTGCTCTTCTCCTCTTCTCCCTTATGTTTTTCACGTTATGACTCTATTCTCTCTATTCTCACCTCTTATAATCTAATAATAATATAACTATCCCAATTAGATTATTACTTAATTATTATTATAAAATAATAATAATCCTAATATTATAATAATGATAATAGTAATAATTCATATTATACTACACACCTCCACGTCTCTCCACATTTAGCCATACACCCCTATAACCTCAACTTCCATTATTCTAATGCATCTAGTCCTCAACAAAGGCACCACACCACATCATAAAATCCACCAATTCATGTAAATACACCACATCACCTTATTATTTAATTAAAAATAATTCTAATTAAATCGGGGTGTCACAATACCTGTTTTGGCTTCTGTGTATGATCAGACTTGTCAACTTTCGCAGGGGCTTCTATCTGTTTTTTCTTCGACTCTCGGGCAGAAAGACGTACAGCTCTAAACCATAAACATGAGTAAGTTAAGGGAATAATGGAAAATTTGAATTTCCTAAGAATCTTTCAAGTCACCTACAAAGATGGGATACAAGACTCATGCATGTTCAATGTCGACATGAAGATGGCCTTTATAATTATCAATGTGATATTTAGTTAAGACCACTCTATGATGAGGTTTTTTAAGTGAGTTATTTAAAGATGACAAATACCTACAAGGGAGCCATTATGGAAATGGTGGTTGAAAGGCCATGCCATGTTCACAGGTCGACAATGGTGGGAACTTAAAAAAATAAAACTTTAAAGAGAAACTATACCTATCAATTACATAAGAAGTTTTTTAGTAATTTTTATTTTAAAGTAAGAGCCGCGTCATAAACAGTTCGATGAATATCACAAGGATTATATACAGCCTCAAAGTAATGTTGGAAAGCCTGAATTTCTTTGACATATGTACTTGAACTCTTCTTGAATCGTGTCTACATAGTTGAAAAACCATTTGTCAAAAGCTGCAGGATAATATAAGATTCAACCTAATGATCATGGTGATAATTTGACCAACATTATTCAAATTTTTGTGTGCAGAGATAACTAATTTGAAACTTAAAAGGAGTCAAGGTGATGGTGTCTATGGTGAGGAAATCCAGTTATGCACGATATTCTTCATCTTATAATGGGTGGTGGCTGTGAATATTTCAACTTTATTAAGAAAGAAGGACTTTGGTAGAAATTAAAAGAAACCAAATTATCGGGATACCAAGTTAGGCTGATAGCTAACAAGACTAAAAACTTTGTGTCCCACAATAATCCTAGTAGACAAAATAGTTAGTCAGAGAAAAGCTGACCAGATGTCAAGAGCATCAACATGATGTTCAGGAGAAAAAGGAGGAAACTCTATCTTAAACCAGTCAAGACCATGAATTCGAGTGACAAAGGGAGCCATGGATGGTTCAAAAACATCATTTTTCGCAAACATGATGACTAATTCTTAAATGCATCAGCAGTCGATGGACCATCATTCTCTAGTGTTAACAAGGAAAGCTTGGTGGCTTCAACCCATCTTCCTTCAACCTTTTCCACTAAGGCATAAAAGATTTTAAACTTCAAAAAAGATTCAAATGTGGCATTAAGCCCTAGTTGGAGAAGTCACATAGGGCCAGGGATTAGGAAGTTCTATTTTGGGTCGATGATGGACTTAAAATCATAAGCATCAACCCTAAGAGCTTTGTAGAGAGAGCCTAAAATTAGCTTGTTGAGATGGTTTTTTTGCCCTTCGTGAATTTGGTGGCCAAAGTTATAAATTTCTAGGCTACCACCAAAGAGCTAGAACCGAAGACATAGCAAGATAGCTAGAAGGTTAAGAAAGCAATGTGCTCTCGGTCAGAAACTTCTTTAGAGTCAATCTCATGGAAGTCTTTGTCAAAACATTTATAACTTGTACGTTCGAAGTCAAATTCTGGTTTGGTGCTAGTTAGAAAAGTATGGTTGAAGGTTTCCCCAGTAGGTGGAAGACCCTGTATGGCAGCTATGTTGAACTAGGTGGGGGTTACCATTTCACAGTGAAGGTGGAAAGTATTAGTAGAACCTTACCAGAAAAAGAGAGTTGCGACGAGCATGTTGAGATTGAACTTAATGCCAATTCTAGACACCTGATTGAAGTCATAAATCTCTTGATTCCTCCATAATTGTCCTTTCTTCTTCTATACCTTATCTAACCATTTAATATATGCATCCTTTTTTGAGGAAAGAAAAGCACGAAAAACGTATGGATGCACTCACGAACCCTAACTCGTAAGCTTTATCTTTAAAGATTATGGGTTCATAATTATGGTAACAAGGGAAGAATATACTCAAATGTTCAGGTTTCTCAAAAGTTGTGGGGAAAGGACCTAGAAATTCATGAATAGTACCATAAATGGATAAATGGGTGAGTACATGATAAGCCCAAATCCTCAATTCATCCTCCTTCATAGGTGGCTCAGGAATGTAGCTCTGTTTACCAACAACATTAGGAGCAATAGTTTTAGAAGCAAGCGAAATTGGAAGTCTTGGTATGGGAGTTTAAGAAGTTATGTCTTTTGAAGAAAAAGAAAGTATAAAATGAAAAATGAGGGGATATTTATAATGACAAAACGTTTCAGTTCCCCCCAAAAAAGTGGGATAAGTGGCATTAAAAAAGTGGACACTTGGAGTTTGAATTTCATGAAGAAATTTTAATTAAATAATTTCGTTAATAGGGTTTATTCGTGTGGATAAGATTTCCCTAGGAAATCGAAGCAATGATGAGGGTCTGCTTACACATTCGTGAAGTGACAGTTTGATGAAAAGTGGCCATGATGACCATGACGTGTGTAGGCCAGTGTAAACGATGTCGGGAAGTTACTAAAACTCGACCTTTATTCCATCTGATATGATCAAAAATATTTTTGGGGGGCATTTGTCAACCTGAAAAATTCTTGCAGAAGAATTCGACTAAGGATTGTAGCAACCTTGCAGAAAAAAGTATGAAAAACACTTGGTCATCGACACACAACCTCTATCGATCGAGAGGTCTCGACTAACATAGTAAGAATGGTTTGGAAGAATCTCAAGAACAAATCCACAAGATTAGGATCACTCTGTCCAAAACATTTTTGAAATCTCGAAAATGATGTTTGACAAATGGTTAGGTTCAACGAGTTCACCAGTTGTCTAAGACTTAACATATTTTCTAAGTCTAAGAGTCTGTTAAGCGAAGGGATGTATCGACAAGTGCTATAGAAATTAGTTAGATATTCTTAAAGGCAATTGGGAAATTCAAAGGCAGTTACCAATGTGACGAGTAGTTGTAGTGGTTTTTAAACTAATGAATACACATGAAGACATTTTAGAGGATGACAACCCGTGTAGTAGGAGAATCGTCGAACATGTGGCGAACGACCGTCGTCAGCGATTAGTTGGGACTAGTTTATAAAGCAGGCTCATGCATGTAACCAAGGTCACAAAATCTAATTTTTTGTTTATAGATTGAAGTACGCAAGTTACCGAGAGAACAATTGTGAGAAATGGATGAGTTTGCGTCCTTGTGTTTTACTTTTTCCATGTTTTCCTAATTGAAACATTATACTTTAATGTCATTTACTGTAAAGTTGATTTATTATCTTTATCCAAGATTTATTATAGTTAGAGTTTAATTTCATTTAATATTTATACAACCATTTAAATTAAATTCTCAAACACTTTTCAATGTAACTTTTTTCCACACAAATTATCCTTGAGATTTTTTGAATTAATCTCTTAAATAAATTAAACTTGTGATTGTTTACTAAAAATACCAGTAAATAGTCATATGAAAATTGGGTAGATCCAAACCGACCTAATCATTGTCACTGCCAACCATCGCTGCTCGTTGGTGACCAAACCCTCCTCATTGGCTCAGTTATCGCATTAGATATGTCATTGACCTTCATCGATTTCTAAACTAATTTTTAGTTTCTGCAATCTCAAAACATGTTACCTTTTGTTTATTTGATTATTTGTTTATTTCATGCCAAGATTTTTTTTATGTACTCGATTCGATGATATTAAAAGAGTAAAATCTATAAAAAAAACAAAAGAAGCCAATATTTAGTTTGTTATAGAAGAATGATTAAAATTATAAGGGTTTCGTAATCTAGTATATATCCATCACATAAATACGCAATTAGAACAAAGCTTAAAAGTTCCATTGGATCGATATTTAAGTCGCAATTGGATAACTATATTTGAACTGAAATTTTCCTTAGAGATATACTCAACAAAGATTTTGTTGATACTTTCAAAATACAAAGGGGACCAAGATTACTGATAGATTCTTTGATTTTATTTTCTTAGCAAACATAAATATATATTAAAAACAAGTAACATAGATATACTACTAGATCATGATCATTTGAACTTTGGAAGACATTTCTTTTTGGGAGCTTTATTAAGTTGATTCACCTTTTGTGGCGTTGCCGACGACCCTGCATCAACACCAGAGTTAATCTTCTTCGGCACGAGAGATGAATCAGCTGCTGGTGCATCAATGGGATCTATAATTTGTTTGTGAGATTCATCAACAACCAATTTGGATGATTCAACGTTGTCCCCACCAACACTAGTGTTTTGTGGCTCACTTGGCACGAGAACATTCAAAGGGAATTGTGGCTTAAGAGGATTGAAAAGATAGGTTGACCAATCCTCACACATAGGTGCCCTAACAGTCTCAAACATGACATCTCATTTAGTAGTGTAACGAGCAAAAAGTTCTTCTGTTACATAAATATATTCATAATCATTAACATTGTCCACCATTGGTTTGGGTGGTTGACAAGTTTCAGAAGAAACTGGTGTTGGTGTTGGTGTTCCATGATTTCAAATGAATCACGGTTGTCGTTCGGCATTTTTCACTAAACTATTTGTCTTTTTCTTAGTGTGCTTGTGTTTGAGACATTGCACTCTTCCATTTTATAGTGTCAGTTTATTATTCATTGAATTTTGACAAGTTCACCTATGACAAATTTTATATTTTATAGAATGATATTCTTTTTAAATTACAAGCCATTTTAAAATATTAATAAAATATTTTATATTTATTTTCTTTTTGTCATTTACTCTTAATTATTTAATTTTGTAAATTTGTGTAAATATTAATAAAGGTCATTTAATAAAATTAATTTATAATTCCTTGTATACAATATAAATTAAAAAAATGGAATTACAAGAATAGATATAATAAAAAATAAATAAATATAATTACAAAAGAGACATAGAAACTCAAAATTATCCAAAAATAAAATACATCGGCTCCAATAACTAAACAGGATACTAATAACAAAAATTATTTAAAGAAAACCAGAAAACATATCCTTCAAACCACCAAAACTAATATCCACTTTTTTTTTTAATTCTTTTATCATATAAAATTAATTCTAGATGTATTTTTTCATTGAATGAATATATAATTGATAATTTGATATAGATAGTACTTATAACAAATTAAAATAAAGTAATACATTTAAAAGAGAATAATAATAATAATAACAATAATAATAATTAATATTTTATTTTATTAAACCTTTTTTATTATAAAATACATAGAAACTAAAGTTATTCACATACCACAGTCAACTAATATGTTTGTGTTTTTAATATTATTTATATATTAATAATTAAATATTTCTAACAATTAAACAATTATCATCGATTGATAGTATAAAAACTCTTTTAATGAACGTGTATAATAGCACTTTTCTTAATTTTTAGCTATAAAAACTCAAATTTGACACGGCTTAAATAATGTTTTTTAATTTATAGTTATATATAAAAAGGGATAACTTGTTTTGGTATAACATCTTGGGTAAATTATAATTCAGGACCTTCAATTTTGCTTAATTTATAAAATTAGTCTCTTTATTTTCAATTCATATAATTTTAATCTCCTTATTTTAAATTTAAACAGTTTCAATCATTTTCTCATGTTTTTATAGAAAATTAATGAAATATTTATTTTTTAACTTAATATTTTATTTATAAAGTTCAATAATATATTTATATACATGATTTGTCATGTTTCACAAGTAACTTATCATTTATAAAATGGATGAACCTTGTTAAATTTAATTGTAAAAGTATGAGAAAGAAAATAAAATTGTTTAAATTTAAATTAAAGATCAAAATTATTTAAATTTAAAATAAGAGGATAAATTTTGTGATTCAGATAAAGTATGAGATCAAAATTATAATTAAACTTAATATTTATCTTTCAAATTTCTTTTTATTTAAATTTTTCTTTTTTTCCTACTCTATCTTTTTTTACTTAATAAACTAACTAAATTTTAAATAATTGCATACTCTTTAAATTAGAATTATATTCTCTCATTCTTATTACTATTTTTTTTTTACATTATTTATAAGGTTGAAAATGAATCGAGTCGAGTCAAACTTACATCAGCTTGACTCGACTTGATAAGGATTAATTCAGCTCAAAACTCAACTCGAGTTTGACATAAAGTGTTTTTAACCTCAAACTCGATTCGTTTTAAACTCACGAATTACTCTACTTAAATTGTTAGATTTATATTATTAAATTCAAGTCGTTTGTTTTATGAACTTATAAAGTATTTTTCTAAATCTATTTTTTTAAATATATTTGATATTTTAAATTAGTATTTTAATATATTTTTTAAATATTGAAATAAAATAAAATTTATAAGTTTGGAAGAAAATAAAGAACTAAAATTTAGAGTAATTCCTTAAAACCTTCTCTTTGAATCAATATTTATATTTGAGATGGGTCATACAAAATTCAAGTTCAGCCATTTAGTTAAAAAAAATCATTTTTTTACTAATACTCAAGTTGTAAAGGCAATTGGTCTATACCCTATGAATACCCGAATAAAATATTCATTACGGATAGGATAAAAATCCACAAAATAGATATGAATACTTACATATATAATAAGGCATTAAAATAAATGGATATTAGTGGGGACACTGGTATCTTACATATTTATATAATGTTATCTATATTATTATATAAAAATGTATGTTTATTCATTTTTTAAAAATACATCGCTATTAAACTATTATATATTTTAATAAAAGTGTTTATTTATTTCTTAACTCGACAATAACATCCAGAATGGAAGTAAATACGAAACAATATAGAATACTATAAATCAATGATAAAATTAAATGGTTAAAAATGGTGAAAATTGTATTGATCAGCCATTTCACTTGTTTTCTAATGAGAAAAATGGTGAAAATTGTGTTGATTAGCCATTTCACTTGTTTTCTAATGAGAAGTCATTATTGCGACAATAGACTATTTTTCTTGATTTCTAACGAAGAATCATTGCCTCCTTATTAAGCTATTTCACTTGATTCCCAATTAGGAATCTTTTCCTCCATATTAGGCTACTACTTTTCTTTTATTCCTAATAAAAAATCATTTTGACCTTATTAGGAATTTTTCCCAAATCTTGTTGAAGAAACTTTGTGGCTTGAATAAACTATTTTTCTTGATTTCTGGAGTCGAGGCCTCCCTTAGAGACAATCACAATAGAATGAAAGTTATCAACACCTCTCAGGACTACACACTATAGGAGGCTCTAGATAATTAAAGGGCCCTTTGAAATAATATAAGAGCAATAACACCAAAACTTTATAACCATACCGCCCAAAGACGTAAGTATTTTTACTTAAAAATCTAAATGGAAAATATTACACAAAATACTCAAAAGGGACATACTATAAACAAAATATAAAAATAAGATATTACAAATCCAACCATAACATAAACTTTATGGCCCAAAGTCTATCTTACAAGCAAACGATCATGTTGAGTCCCGATGTGAATCCTCCACATTTTAATGTTGTCACCAACAAGATTTTACAAATCCAACCATAAGATAAATAAAGTTCTACTACTCCCCCACTTAAATCCACACCAGTAAAACCAAAATAGCATAAGCAAAACCATCACTGCTTGCATATGATCTTTCTTGCGGAAACATTGACAGGACGACCTATACAACTGATGAACAACACCATATTTACTCCTTGATACAGGACCTATCTGCATGTCCATTTAGTCACATCATATTTGATCAGACTATACAATTTCAAAGACCCGATTTATGGCTTATTCATACTGCTTTACAGTGCTCTCTGTAATAAAAGCATATGGATCATGTGATTTTCTTGATATCCATTTATCACCACCTCAATAAGTTTCAAACTTGCATATTTTGGAAATCCACCAAAGTCTATGATGAATTTCTACCACAATGACAATTTAATTATGAGACAAACAAAGAAAATAAGACAAGACAAATAATTTATGTAGAGTTTCTCTCTGCTCACAAACTGTGAAAACTTTATTATTCACTTTGCAACTGCAAAATACTGTGTATGACTTGCTTGACTTGCTTACAAAAATAGGGGTTACCCCCTCTATTTATAACTGAGCTTACACCCTAAGCCCAAAGCCCAAAATATCTTTTTGTTACTAAATCAAATCTAATTTATTCTAGACTTAAATCAAATCTATTTAAATCTAAACAAATTAAATCTTTTCGACACATAGTTTCGACACACTGAATTACAATTTAACACACCACCTAATTCATTAAGTCTAAACTATATATATTCATCATGACTCTTAGTCTTCTGAATACTTCGACTTGCACTCCCTTCGTTATGATGTCTGCAATCTGATTCTCAGTTCTGCAGTGTTCCAAATTCCGCCTCCCATCTGCTACCTGCTCTCGAAGATAATAAAACCTCATTTCGATGTGTTTATTTCGACCATGTGCTATTGAGTTCTTCGCCAGATTAATAGTTGACATGATGTCTATCTTCATGGTAATTGCTCCATGATTTTTCCCTATTATCTCTTTGACCAAGTTCACCATTCAAGTTGCTTGACATGCACAAAGAGAAGCAGTTATGTATTCTGCTTCGCATGATGATAATGCCACTACAGGTTCCTTTCTTGAATTCCAAGCAACTGGTGCACCATCTAGCATAAACACATATCCTACTGTTGACTTTCGATCTTCAGCATCACTACACCAACTCGAATCAGTGTATCCCACTAACTTGCATTCTTTTCCTTTATCAGCTACAGGAAACAAAATTCCAGAATCGAAAGTTCCTTTGAGATACCTTAGTATCCTCTTCACTGCTGCTAGATGTGATACCTTTGGCTTCTGCATGAATCTACTTACCATACCTACACTGTATGCTTAGTCAGGCCTTGTATGACAAAGGTATCTCAATGATCCAATAAGTCTTCTGTATTGGGTTGGATCAACATCATCTTCATCTGCATCTTTCGACAGTTGCAGTCTTGGTTCTGCAGATGTCGAAGTTGGGTTGCATTCTTCCATCTCAAATCTCTTGAGAATTTCTCCTGCATATCTTCTTTGATGCATTATCAAACATCTACTGCTCTTGTAGAATTCAATGCCAAGGAAATATGAAATCTCACCCAAATCAGACATTTCGAATTCCTTACCGAGATCACCTTTGAAGTCATCGATCTCACTTTTACAGCTACCTGTTATCAACAAATCATCTACATAGATACATAGTATAAGCAATTCACTATTGCTTCTTCTTACATATACTCCATGTTCAGTTATGCACTTTACAAATTCCTTCTCCCTTAGGAAACTATCAATTTTCTTATTCCAAGCTCTTGG